CTACACGACGCTCTTCCGATCTCCCCAAAACCCCAAAACCCCAAACCACAAAGCTGAATTAAAGAAAAGAGAAAACAAAATAATATAAATAATATAATATTAAAAGAAAATGCTCACTCGTGATCAAATGGAAGAGCAGCTTAAGCAGTCTGCTAAAGCTACTATCTTTGAGCAGCAGTTCGCTTAAGCATTTGAAAGAATCCTCAAGGAGAAGAGAGAAGGCTCTAACAAACTCTATGCTGAAAAGAAAGATTGGCAGAAATACCAAAGCCTTCCATCATATTCTGAATAATAAGCATTCACAGTTGAAGGAGATGACAATAAACTCAGAGTTGCAAAGTGGAATTCACTTCTTAAGGATTCAGCTTTCTACCTTGATAATCCATCACTGAGAGACGAAAGAGAAATGAAATAGAAGCTCTTCTTTAGATATGATGACTTATTTGCTGATGCAATGAAGCCACCCCTACAATCAAGAAGAGATTTATTGTCTTGGGCTTGCTAAGCAAAGAACGAATCACTCAGAGCAAATGAAGCTTCAGGGGAATTATTGGAAGATTGCGAGAACTATGGTGGACTCTTAAGAAAATACGGACCAGACTATGAATAATTGAAAAAGAAACTAGCACATGTTAGAGGATTATTTGATTGATTTAAAACATATGCAGAGTCTGTCAAAAGTCATGAATAATGAATTTTACCAAAGTATATCGAATGAATTCACAAAACTCACTTAAACTCTCTGGTATTTAAAATGCCTGAAGTTTGTGAGAGAGGTGTTTATATGGGTGATATACTTTGTTTATTTAAACATAACACAATTTATAATGAACTATTTAGATATTTAAATATTATCTTAGCAAGCAAAGAGAAACAAGCCATCTCTTTGCTTCGCAAACATTTATTCACTTGAAGAACTTTTGCTTCTCTAAGTCCTATAAAATTGATTGTCTAATGTTATTATACTTACGAATCTATTAAAGACCTCAGAATTCTCAACGAGAGCGTTTCTGACTGACTCATCAAAGCCGATAGCCATGTATGCTACGTTTTAACCTAGATCATCCTCAATCTTTCTTTACCATTCTGGGTAGTCTTAGGTGCTATCGATTAAGTTATAGTATGCTTTGAGTAATAACTCCATCTCTTTGTAAATTTGATCTGGTTTGTTGTGTGGAGACTAAACAGTTTAATTTAAACTTCATTTTTTATCATACTTTTTTGTAAATAGTCATGGGAATAGATGGGTTATTAGCAGCTTATCTAATTTCGAGGACTGTCATGATTTGGGTGAAGTCAGCAACATATTCATAGATAGTGAACATTTTCTCGTAGCTGGAAAGCACTCCTCTAGCTTTCTCTAAATCAGCAACTTCTTCACTTGAAAGATCCTTTGATAAGAAGTTCCAGTATTTATTCAAGAAGTAAAGATCGAGTGTTGGTCTTGTGAATATTCCATCATTCTCTTCATAATTATGATCATGGAACTATCCCATTCCTCTTTGAACGATGTCATATTAAAGAACCTCAGCTCTTGAAGCTTGGACTATAATAATTCCATTGATTAATAAAGAGTCATTCAATAATGGAGATTAAACTTACAGAGAATATTCTGTCTGAGCATTGATCTGACGAGTTGGACGGGACCGATTCTTTTGAAGAAGTGAGGTCTCATTAATCCTGCTAAAGTGCCACCTAAGAGGAGATTCATTTTTTATCAAACTATTAATTATATCTTAAATTAATAATTTCTATGAATCACAGACATTCTTGGAAACATGGGGTTTTGGGGTTTTGGGG